CAGGAGAGTCACTACGTAGCTTCTGTGTTTTTGAAATGCTGGATTGACTGTTAAAAAATTTTCTAATTTCTGTTAGGATGGCGACGTGATTTTCCCTGCTCCCACCCCGAAAAATATTCCTCAAGGTGCCCCAGTAAAACCGAAGACAGTGGCTGAGCTGGAAGCTGAGAAAGCAGCTACCGTCACCCCCTTCAGGAAGACGATGACTACGGCTTCTGCATATACAGCAGGTGAGGACCCCATTCATGAGGGTTGAGTCCTGATTGTTTGGATTTTGTAAGAAATGCATTAATTGTCAAAATTAGTGAATGAGATCCTGTTGTCCTCCTTTGGATTCCATGAGGAAGTGGGCCTGTTAGAAGCAAGTTTTCGTAAATGTGTTACTAGCCTCACCTCTGTGGCCTTGGAGACTGCATTGATGGCTGACCCCAGAGATGCAGGTGCTCGCTAGATACTGGAATGAATGTGTGTGAAAGCATAGACGGGCTGTTAATGCTTTTCTTTCATAGAAAACATTTAAAATATAGCTTGTTAGGAGTTTTATCTTACATCAAATGTATCGAGTAGTGATCTGTGTCAGATTGTGTTGGTGTTAAGTGCCTGTAAATATGGTTATTTATTTATCTTTACGAGTTATAAAACATCAGTTGTGATCATCTGCACGTTGTGTAAGACTGGGGAACCACATGTTTGCGTTGAAGAATAAACAGTAGAAGACAGGTATGGCCCTTGACCGTTTGTCTAACATCCTAAGTTCTTCACCTAGTAAAAAAAATTCAATTTTTAAGTTTTCATTTCTTTACAGTTTAACACAAATTCTTTGCTTTTTAGTTCGCCTTTATGAAAACATTAAGCAGTCACTGTAAAATAATGGTAAATATTCATTCTGGTTATGAATTGTTAAGAGTCTGAAATAGGGACATTTGGTTTTAAATTGGTTTCTCTCTCATCGAATGAATTAAAAATATTTAGATCTACTTGGAGCCAAAGCAAAAACAAAACAAAAGCAAACTATAAAGAATTAAGGACCAGCACCAGGCACACAATTCTTGTAGCCTCAGCATTCTCCAAATTCCCATGCGAGCCCAGATGTTTGAAAGAGAAATATGTAACTCTCCTTGAATAAAGAGCAAGTCTCAGCAAAATGACTTAAAGCCTCTAGTTGTGAACATGGTGAATAAATGGGGCAGTGTCCCTACTTGCACTTACTTGTTAAAAAAAAAGAAACCAGATTATTATATTGTACCTGGAGAGGATTCTTGGAAGGATTGTAAATTTCCATTTCTCTTTGCGATTCGTGAGGAAATACAGTGCGGCATGTATGATGGTTTATTTTTCTAGGTTTCTCTCTCATTTGTTAAGTGAAGGTTTATTGCATTTTAATAGATAGGACATTAGCATATTTTAGGGAATAAAAGAATGTCCTTATATTTGTTTTTCTTTACCTTAAACTTCCTCCTTTATAATAAAAACAAGCATTTTTCTTTTATGTGTGTTAGGAATCCATTTGAATAGCATTCTCCAAAGAATATGATTTGCTTTCTTTTCCTTTTCTTTTTTTCTCTGCCCTTCTCTTTCCTTTGTTACAAAGAGTATAGAAATAGCATAGTTGACATTATTAAATATACTATAGAAAAGACATTAGTTTACTAAAGAGTTGATTAAAAAAAACCCTTTAGATAGGTGATTTCTGTCCTAGATGCCCAACAAAAGAATGGACTCCAGATTATGATAATTTAGTGCTGCTTGATTAATGTGGTCATTTAATGAATGCTAGGCATTGCACTAAACAATTCATATGCCCTAACCTATTTACTCTTTATAAGACCTCAGTGAGGTGGGCATATTATTATTTTCTTTCTCCAGGTGAGGACAGAGAGGGTTAATAATTTTACAGATGATGATAATATAGCACAGAGAAGTTAAGTAACTTGCCTGAAATCTCACAGCTAGCAAGCAGTAGACCCACAGTTTGAATGAGGCAATCTGGCTTATGAAAACATATTTTTTTTTTTTTAAGATTTTATTTATTTGTGAGAGAGAGAATGAGAGACAGAGAACATGAGAGGGAGGAGGGTCAGAGGGAGAAGCAGACTCCCTGCTGAGCAGGGAGCCTGATGTGGGACTCGATCCCGGGACTCCAGGATCATGACCTGAGCCGAAGGCAGTCATTTAACCAACTGAGCCAGCCAGGCGCCCTGAAAACATATTTTTAACCACAACTCTATACAGCTTCTCTGATGTTTAACTAGAACACAAAACAATATTCTGTCTACTCTCCCTCCAGATGGTTAACAGGCCATGTATTGGAACCCTGGGCATTTTATATTTGGGTAGGGAAATATAAATTAAAACTGCAGTCTTATTACATGATCTAAAGTAAAATTAATGTCAACTCCTAGATGTTCTAGCTGTGCCACTTATAAAGAAATACTTCATAACACGGGGAAAAAAAAGTACCTTACTCAAGAAAGTTGAATTCCAGCTCCCTGGTCTCCCATTCACATTCTGTTTTTACTGACCACTAGGTAACCCTTCCTTCTGTTGCAGAACAGCCATCCACATGTTTGCTATTAGGGAAGGCAATAATTAAAGATGTATGTTCATAGCTGACTGTTTGTCTTCTGCACATTCTTAATTTAATTTGTTTTTTTTTTTTCCTTTTCTTTGTAAAATCCTGTTTGCTGACTTGGTGTTGAGGCTGGAGCTGACTGCCCTGGCCAGCAGTCCAGTCCAGCTTCAGGAGCAATTGCAAAACCTCTGTCCCGGGGGGTGGGGAGGTGGGAGGTGGAGGCCATATGTTTTGGGGAGGTGCTGGAGTGAATGAAATCCTTCCTACTCTTTTAAAATCCCTCTTCCTCAGCCAAAGCTGAGTGACATGAAATTGGCTTCAAAAAAGTCCTGTCTTGTAAAGGTCGAGTCTTGCCCAAGTAGAAAATGCTTTGGTAGATCCTGTGTAGGTCTGTAATTCTGGAACAAAAGCACTTGTATAAACACATGTGGCATCATCAGTGAAAGTCAAAACAGGGAAGAGGACAATGGGGAAATTGTTATCAAGGTGACTCATAAATTTTACTAGATCTTTACAGCTTATTTTATTTTGGGAGATGGTGGTCGGGAAGTTGAGTTTTGTTCATAATACCTTTAACCTCCCCTGGCCCCCATCATGAAATGTGTAAAAAATCTCATTATTGGCAAACTCCATATCGGGTGCAGAATTTAAAAGCATTGACTGTTTCACATGTTTGTGTGTGGGTGTGCGTGCTTTTAATCTTGAGATAATTGGAGGTCAGCTCATACTCTTCTCTTTCTGTAGGTCTCACTGGGATGCTGGGTTTGGGCATTGTGGCACCCAATTTAGCCTTTTCCCAGATGGTAACCACTTTTGGCTTGGCCGGCATCGTGGGCTACCACACCGTCTGGGGAGTGACCCCTGCTCTCCACTCACCACTGATGTCTGTGACTAATGCAATCTCAGGTTTGGTCCTCTCTTGTTTCCCCTCATTTTAGGTTTTCATGGGCTTATTCAACTCTGCAACTGCTTTCAATGATGTTTCCAAAGTCTTTGTTTACAAATTGTATGGCTTGGCTTCTTGAGGTGGTGGTTGTGGTGGCTTGGGCTCCCCGAGGGGGTGAGGGTGGGTCTAGAAGTGAGGGGCCCAACAAGCTTGTTAGGCCTTGGGGCTGCTCCCATTTCAAGCAGGGCAGGGCCATTCTTCTTCCTTTCGATGGTAATTTCCTTTAAAGAAAGGATTCCTCTGATATCACAGAATTGTAATTGTAGCATCCTTTAGGGGCTCTTAGATTCATCTAAACATCTAGCCTAGCAAGTCTGTAGTAAGTAGGCCATACCTGTCATCAGATTCACTCTGAAGCCTTTGGAACAGGAAACAGCTGCCCAGGCAGGGTAGCCAAGCATCAGCCGAGCATCAGGCTGGTGGTGCGAGTCTTCACAGTGGTCCGCGTGGCGTCCACACAGCTGCCCAGGAGCTCTTCTCTTTGGCCCCCAGTGATGCTCAGATCTGAGGAGTGAGACCCAGCTGGGACAGGTGTGGGGCCGGCCCTGGCTTGGAAGCCTCATGCTGCCAGGGCTCTGGGCACAGCTGCCGGGGGCTCTGCCGGGAGCGTGGCTAATTCCAAGGGGCACCATACTCTGGAAAGCTCAACGTCATGGCTTTGCCATCATATTTTTCTAGTTCATGCATAGATCCTTCCAGTTCAGAAGCAGTTTATCCACCCGCGGTCCCTTGTTACCTCTTGTCCAATAACATTATCGATTTAGATCTTTATCAGGGGAACAGAGCTAGAAAGTTAAAGGGAGGCCAAATTTTTATGCAGAAGGAGAAAACGTTTTGTTAACTCTTTGCCCACAAGAGTACTTCAGTTACAATGGTGCATGAGGACTTTCTCCGTTGTGTCTGTCCACGTGAGATCCTACAGCTGTGACACTTCATTTGGCCTTGTCTCTGTAACCATTCACCATCTTGCTTCTTTCTTCCTAGGGTTGACTGCAGTTGGTGGGTTGGCACTGATGGGAGGACATTTGTATCCTTCCACAATTTCTCAGGGCCTTGCCGCTCTTGCTACATTTATTTCCTCAGTCAACATTGCAGGTATGATGGCAGTGGTGGTGAGAGAGCCCAGAGTGCTATTTAAAAAAAAATTATTTCAGCAAGCTCTACACCCAGCATGGGGCTTGAACTCACGACCCCAAGATCAAGAGTCGCATACTCTTCCAACTGAGCCAGCCAGGCACCCCCTAGAGTGCTATTTTTTTTTGAAAGATTTTACTTTTTATTTATTTGACAGAGAGACACAGTGAGAGAGGGAACACAAGCAGGGGGAGTGGGAGAGGGAGAAGCAGGCTCCCCGCAGAGCGGGGAGCCCGATGCGGGGCTCGATCCCAGGACCCTGGGATCATGACCTGAGCCGAAGGCAGATGCTTAACGACTGAGCCACCCAGGCGCCCCTAGAGTGCTATTTTTAATGGAGAAGTGAGAAGCAAATATAAATCCATATAGAATAGACATTTGGACTTTTTTAGACATTTGGATTTTTAGAATTTAACTGTGCCTTTAAAAATTGTTTCACTCAGACCATAAATGCTCTCTGTGAAGAAAAATTATTTTGCCCATTTGTAATTTTTAGAAACTATTTGATAGAAGAACACCCCCTTCCTCAGTGCCCCAAAATAAACAAGCAAATGATTGTCTTGCTGCAAGGTAACTGGAAAGTTATTGAATGCATAGTTTTGAATTAAGTTGACTTATAGCTATCACCATAACATCTGTAAATGAGTATACTTTTAGATAAAATTTTAGCCTTTGCCTTATCCTAGCCTGTGTTTCTGAAAACTGAAAGCCTAGCATATCACTTGGTAAGCTCATTTGATGCTATTTTGTAGCTAAAAATTAGTTAATGTGTCCAAGAAATCCGGTGCCTGTTGATGTGGCATTTTTTTCTTTTATCACTTATTATAGGTTTAGCAGAGTAACCTATTTGAAAAAAATACTAGCCTTTGACCTTTGCATTCCCAAGCTGTTTGAATGCCTATTTACTTGTAGTCAGGCAGAAATAGTTAGTTCTGTACTCTGATTGCAAGTTTTCTTCCTGAATATAGAGTTCTCCGCCTTCAATGAAACTGGCTTGGGTGATAGAATAAGTTTTAATTTTGAGGTTCTAAAATGTTACTTAATATATTTATCCCTAGGTGATAAAGATGTGCTTAAAATAGAAAAATTGTACCAGTTTAAAAATCATGATTCTCAAAATACCTCTTTCTGTTTCATATTTACTTTGATAAGGCGGCTTTCTGGTGACCCAGAGAATGCTGGACATGTTCAAGCGTCCCACGGATCCCCCAGAATACAATTACCTGTATCTGCTCCCTGCTGGAACCTTCGTTGGAGGATATTTAGCTGCCCTCTACAGTGGTTATAACATTGAACAAGTAAGAGGCTGTTTTGAGAATTTTTATTTTTGCCACCGTGTTTTCTTTCCAACTAGATTTAATATTATTATTACCAAAATTCAGGCTCTACCAAGCAAATACAATAATAACTCTAGAAACATCTTGGTCAAATAGAGCATTCCTATCCCCTAAGGTTCACGACCCTGGATTCTAGAAACAGATTTGCCTGCTACCTGAATGTGCTAACATGGGTTTACCTGTTTGTCCCTCAGGTTTTCTACTTGTAAAAAGTGTCAAAAGGTTGTTATGTACTTGGATGGATTGTTGTAGGGATACAGTGAAATAATCAGTAACAGAATCTGAAATTTTTCTGTTAAATACTATTAGTTCTTTTCCTACTTACCTTCTTCTACAAATTCAGTGCATCATCTCTTGTAACCAGGAGATGTCATCTCAATTCATCTAAAAAAGACAGTGTAAAAATGAATGTTTATTAAAAAACAGAAATAAGTTGAACTTTGAAAGTTTCATCTTTCAATATGATTATAATAGAGACTTAACTTTGTTCTGAACTCAGTATTTTTTATCACTTTTCAATGCCTACCACGAGATTGCATCTGACAGCAGAAAAATCATGTGTTCCTTAGTTTCTGCAGTTTACAACATTTCTTACTTGTTGAGTGAACAAAATCTTTTTTGAGAGGAGTTGGAGTGGTATGTCAGAGAAACCCATGTCTGAATTCCAGATTTGCTATTTTCTGATCATGTGACCTTGGAAGAATTATGTAACCTTTTCAAGCTTTGGTTTTCTCTTTTTGTAAAATGAGGATGATGATTCCTTCAACTTCTGTGAATCTCATGGGGCTGACTTGAGTAAAATGTATGTTATGGTCCCTGGCATTTACAGCATCAGGGGTTGGCTCCTTTATAGTGTTTGGTCAGGTCTAGATCCCATCATAACTCTGTTTAAATTTAGGTACTTTTATATGCATTTGTGCATGCTATCAAATCCAAAAAGAAACCAATTTACATAAATGGTATAATTGCAAGTACAATTTAAGGTATTTAATTTATTAATATGCCTAATGGATAGGAAAATATATTGAAATATTCAAAGAAGAAGTCCGACTGGTCCCTCTATTGTCTGAATTTAAAATTGTTCTTAGGAAATCATGTTTCCTCAAGAGAAGTCCTCCCTATGCTAATAGACTGGAAGTTTTGATAGTCTCTCTCTCTCTTCTCTTCCCTTTCATTTAAAAAGATCATGTATCTGGGCTCAGGTCTGTGCTGTGTTGGTGCCCTGGCCGGCCTTTCCACCCAGGGAACAGCTCGTCTTGGCAATGCATTGGGCATGATTGGGGTGGCTGGAGGCCTGGCAGCCACCCTCGGAGGCCTAAAACCATCCCCAGAATTGTTAGCTCAGATGTCTGGAGCAATGGCTTTGGGCGGTACCATTGGTAAGCACTTGGTGGAGATCTGCCTTTATGGGAACACATACCCATTTTTTTAGCGTACTCTTTGGACATAGTTGATCCTCTTACTTAATGTTAAATGTTTTAAAATGTTTGTATTTTAATGAGAATTATACCAACTATGATTCTTCACCAAAATAAATATATTAGACACAAAGTTAATTATATTATTCATAACTTTCTAATTAATTTGTTGGATTTTATTTTCTATGCTCTTGAGATTACCCATATTATATCTGTTTTTAGAAATACTGTGTAAAGGTGGGCTTTTGTCCATCTCTTCCCAACTCCATCTTTAATGACATACACTGGTAGCTTGAAATTGACCATGGTGGTTACATTTACACAATGGAAATAAACAAATACTACAAATCTGGATTTCATTTATTGTTTTGTTGATTGTCCAGACCTAAGAAAGTGATGGAGAAAATATTAATAATGCAGCTTAAACTTAAAAGTGTGCTGTTTCTATAGCCATTACATTGTGAATATCATAAAAATTGAGCAAATATTCTTCCAGTATTTGAAAACTATTATCAGAGTCAAGCTGTTGCTCACATTGTTGACAATGAGTGAGGTTCTCACATATATCTCGTTTCACTTTTGTCTTACTTGTTAATGCAAACAAAAATGTCAGCCAACATTCCCGTGGGGACTACACTCATTTCATCAGTTGCAAACACTAGGTTGGTGACAGATGTAAGAGTTTGGCAAAAGTCAACAATTATATTCTGTGAAAGTCAATTGGCAATATGGGGTTTACAATAAAGAGTACCATGTATTTTATTATTTGAAAATTATGTGCAACTTTATATCATTAAAAAATCTTGTACAGGGCGCCTGGGTGGCTCAGTCGTTAAGCGTCTGCCTTCGGCTCAGGTCATGATCTCAGGGTCCTGGGATCGAGCCCCGCATCGGGCTCCCTGCTCCGCAGGAGGCCTGCTTCTCCCTCTCCCACTCCCCCTGCTTGTGTTCCTGCTCTCGCTGTCTCTCTCTCTGTCAAATAAATAAATAAAATCTTTAAAAAAAAAAAAATCTTGTGCATATTTATATATGCACATGTTTTTATCCTGAGACGCTGGTGGTTGTATATTTACCGGTATAACAGTAGCTTTAGGACTCCTTTTATACTTCCCCAGGAAAGCTTTGTGTCCTTTCTTGATAGTCCCTGGAAAGGAACGAAGGAAAATGTGCTGTAGGTTCATGGCAGGAAAACCTCTAGACAAGATCTTAGCAAATGTTCTGAGGCACACCCCTTCTCTATCACCTACCTAGAGCCATACAGCTCTTTCAGAGTCTCCTCATTTGGACATTGACTACCCAGGTATTTGCATTTCTTTACCTTTGGACACGGCTCCCACTCACCCACCTGAAAACCCAGGCCTTCATATTCCAGCTGTTTTCTCCTGTTTTGAGCAAGTTTTGGCTTGTGGAGAAGAGAGCTTGGGTTATTCATGCAGTGGGGAGAAGGTAAGGGTTTGGTTGGAGCCTCAAGTAATCTGAAGAAGTGTTAGGGGAGTGTTTGCAGGTTGTGATGGAAGAGGCATGTGTTAGTGTTGTGTGTTTGGGTTTTTGGAGCTGGATCTTGGTTAGGTGTGTTGAGAAAACCTGCTATTTTGAAAGGGTATACATAGCCAGTGTCCTTACCTTCTGTATAGTCCTTTTTAGAGAATATTTAGCCCATACGATGAAACAGATAAATACTTATTAGGGATAAGGATGGAAATCCTTAGATGTGGTCTTTTTTTAAAAAATTGAAGTATAATTGGGGTGCCTGGGTGGCTCAGTCAGTTAAGCGTCTGACTCTTGATTTCAGTTTAGGTCATGATCTCAGGGTGGTGAGATCGAGTCCTGTGTCAGGCTCCACGCTCAGCACGGAGCCTGCTTGGGATTCTCTCTCTCCCTCTGCCCCTTCCTGTATGCATGTGTTCTCTCTAAAAATAAAATAAAATAAATAAAATTGAGGTATAATTGACATAATATATTAGTTTCAGATGTACAAAATAATGATTCTGTATTTGTATATATAGCAAAATAATCACAATAAGTCTAGTAAACATCTGTCACCATACGTAGTTACAGAATTTTCTTTCTTGTGATGAGAACTTTTAAGATCTACTCTCTTAGCAGCTTTCAAATACGTGATACAGTACTATTAATTATAGTCAATGTGCTGTACATGATATCCCTATGACTTGTTTTATAACTGGAAGCTTCACCTATTTTGCCCACCTCCCATCCCCTTTCTCTAACAACCACCAGTCTGTTTACAGTATCTATGAGCTTGGTTTTTTTTTTTTTTTTAAGATTTTATTTATTTATCTGAGAGAAAGTGAGAGCAAATGAGCAGAGGGAGAGGGTCAAGCAGACTCCCCACTGAGTGCAGAGCCTGATGCAGGGCTCGATCCCATGACCCTGAGATCATGACCCGAGCTCAAACCAAGAGTTGGATGCCTAACTGACTGAGCCACTCAGGTGCCCAGGTTTTTTTTTGTTTTGTTTTTTGTTTTTTTTTTTAGATTTCATATATAAGTGAGATCATATGGTATTTGTCTTTCTCTGTCTGACTTATTTCCCCTAGCATAATACCCTCAAGGTTCATCAATATTTTCACAAATGGCAAGATTTCTGTCTTTTTTATGGCTGAATAATAATCAGGTGTTGGCTTTATTGTAGTTGCCTCTCAAAGGTCTGTTGAGTTTTAATTTCTCTTTGACTCATTTCCCAACAGGATTGACAATTGCCAAACGCATCCAGATTTCTGATTTACCTCAATTAGTTGCTGCATTCCACAGCTTAGTGGGCTTGGCAGCTGTACTTACTTGCATAGCTGAGTACATCATAGAATATCCACATTTTGCCATGGACGCAGCTGCAAATCTCACCAAGATCGTGGCCTACCTCGGTACTTATATCGGTGGTGTCACGTTTAGCGGCTCTCTCGTTGCCTACGGAAAGCTGCAGGGTAAGTGATGCCACATCACAGAGGGGTCAATAGCTACTGTTTACGGGGCTTGAGGGTCCGTGTCAGTTTCAGAAAATGGCTTCACGGTAGAACCTGTTAGGTGAAGAATGTATATAGCACTGAGAGATATATAAAAGACCCTTCCTCCACATCGAGATTGCTTCCCTTCATTGATCCTTACAGAGCTCACAAAGCTTTGAAGCAATTCCTTCTGCAGGCAGCTAGTGCACAGAAATTGGGGTAGCGGGACTAGCTGACAATTGATAATACATGTGAACAAAACTACATCTTCCTAATCCTTAGTTAGGGATGCCTGTTCACAGAAATGAATTTTATACATTTTCCAGAGTAGAGAGAAGCTTGTTGAATAAGAAGCTTGTGTGATCACCATACATACTTATTTTGAACACATACACATTCTTCGGCTCTGGCTTACCATCTTTTGCTACTTCTCATGGCTGAGACTAGAAGTGGGGGAAAGAACCCCCAAACCTCACAGAGGCTATTTTCAGTGTTTTCATGAATAAGTGAGTCTATAGAGAAACTAACTTGTGATGTAAAAATCTGGTCTTTTCCTCTGAGTAATCAAGCCATTAAAATTAAATAGAGTACTTCCATGAAACTTAAAAATCACAAAAGAACTTCAAGCCTCCAATGCTCTTGTCTCATGCTTTGTTTCAAAAACAACTAGCAAACCAGGGCTCTGCTCCCTTGGGTTCAGTTGATAGAATCAGAAATGCTAATGTGCTAGGACTCTGTTTTGAAGTTTTAAATAAATGAAACCACACTTAACAACTTCTGTGTTGGTCATACGGGAAAAATGTAACTTTTTAAGATGCTAGGACAAAGAGTAAAGAAATTGTTGTGTGATCAAAGTAAAAAACAGTTAAGTTGAGCCATACTTTTCCTACTTTTGTTAACATTTGTTACATGTAAGAGCCCTAATTTGCTTTTATGTTTCAGGACCATTTTTTAAAATTCTGATATTTAATTTTGGTAGTTTAGGATTAAATGACATGCACTTAAGTGTGTGTGTGTGTGTGTGTGTGTGTGAGAGTGTGTGAGGGGGTTTTTCATGACATGTGCTAGCTTCTGACTGACTTGCGCTTGGTCCTAGGTATCCTGAAATCCGCCCCTCTCCTGCTTCCTGGGAGGCACTTACTTAATGCAGGCTTGCTGGCTGCTAGTGTGGGTGGAATAATCCCATTCATGATGGACCCTAGCTTTACTACGGGCATTACCTGTCTGGGCTCTGTGTCAGCTCTCTCTGCTGTCATGGTAAGAAGTTAGGGGTGGAAAGCACATCCTCAGTGAGGAACTGGCATATTTTGTTAGATTGCAGTCTAACCTATTTCTAGCTCTTCAAGACCCTTGATGGAATAAACATGTTTTAGAATGATGTTACATGTTCTTCTTTTTAGAATCTGGAAAATACAGAAAAGTGTAAGAAGAAAACCACTCTTGCTCTCCACTGAATGGTTCCTTTCAAAGTTGTTGGGTGCCATCTTTATTGCTCTGGGGTCTTTTCCCTGGATCAATGTGTTGGTGAATGGGAATTTTAAAAAGCCAAGTGTTTCAATTCTATTCATTAGGTGCCTACTTACTGTGACAAGGCCCACAAAATGGTGCTTTGGGTTTTATGCAGTAAGGGTCAGATACTCCCTGCCCGTCAGTTGCACTCTCATTTAATGGAAGTTATGATACCAAGTTAAAGAATTATGTAAAATGAGATGTAGTTAATAAACCCTGTGTGTTCAGTGGGGGAGTTCAGGGAAGCCTTTCATGATAGGTATGGTCCTCTTCTCCCTCTCTGATTTTTGCATTTAGTATATTGATACATACAGTATTATCTGGGTGTCTATATGCTACAATATAGCATTTTATTATATCAGTGTAGGATGCTTTTGCAAAACAGTTGTTATTCACCGATTCCTTCATGTTTGTCTAGTCTGGAGTCTTCATTGTAGACACTGGTTTATGTTTTAGGTTTTTAAAATAATTTGTAGTGCTGGGCGCCTGGGTGGCTCAGTTGGTTAAGCGACTGCCTTCGGCTCAGGTCATGATCCTGGAGTCCCGGGATCGAGTCCC